GTTTTTGGAGTATAAAGTATTACCAGGGTAAACAAATATTGGTAACACGTTACATTTAAGTTACATAATATTATACCTATCTCAACTCGAACAACTACACAATGAAGTGTGAAGGTACCTTATATTATGTATTAATACTTAGATATAGGTAATAATTAAATAACTAAGAAGTAATAACGGTGTGTGTATACATTTTTTGTACATTTTAAAATGCTCATAACTTCAGATTAAAACTAAAATCCTGCTTAGTGCGTTGGCTTCTAGATAATATTTTTACCTTTAAATTTTATAATAGATCAATTCACACTAATATTAAAAAAGGGATTTTTCTGACTATATAATTTGTTACCTATGATCAGTGGCGTGTAACACAGTGTCCAAGTGTTGCTTATAACACCTTAAATATGGGTGGGTTGGTATTGATAGATAAAAAAAATCGGTCATTTTATAAGTCGGTATGACAGTATTACGAGGAGTAGGTCTCCTCAAATTATTTGAGCAATAGCAATTTTTTTTATGGTACACACCACTGCCAGTGATTGTTACACGTGTGGATATGACGGCCTCTATAAATTATAATAAAAATAAATTATTGCTCTTGTGATACCTAAAATTATATGTAAACACCAAATAATTGAATGGTTATAATTTTGTTAATGTTGAAATATCATAAATTAGTTTAAAATATACTTGAATAAGTGAATAACTGTCTAAAGAATAATACAAAGTTGTAAATTAGTTCTTTTATATTGCATATTATTATGTATAATAAATATGTAGGTATGTCTGAAGGGCCCGGGGCGAATACCCAATTCATCATGACTAAGGGACGACCCTGGACTAACTTCACATGACAAATATAAACGGCTTCGGTGACTTCACTTTAAGTTTATTATATCATGAGCGACTTAACTTTGATGTACGACTACACGAATACGTGGCGTAAACCGCGAACACAACTTTCGAGTTCCGTTTAAATTTCTACAAACAGCATTACAGTGACTTCGAGTCGGTTTTGTAGGCACTAAGCACATATTATTATTAGGTACTACAATTTATTGTTCCTAATGGATGGGCTGATGGGTCGGTGTTGTTTCTTTTTTCGATTTTCGACCAACGAACGATATAATATTATAATCTTTACGTGTTGCAATAATCGATGATTGTTGATATATAATATATATCTCATAAATTGTTATTAGTTTGAAATGTTTTGTTAGTACGGCGCAACGATGGTCGGTGTGCCACACAAATATAATTTCCGTTTTAATATGTCTTCGTGGGGCCACACGAATACACAATTGAGTGAACTTCTAAACGTTGTCGACCAAATATCGCAACCTTTCATAAAATCCACATTTTTATCGATCAATAATTTTATGTATACGCATACGAAAGCAATCGAATGACACATTTTTAGAACAACAAAAAAAATCTATTAGCCATTAGTCATTAGGTCCGTTTAATTTTAGAATGGTTTCTTCGTGTAATTTGTTCCCGAATTGTAACGGAGTAGACTACACAACCCACGTGCACATTGGATTGCATCATCGTCGCGGTCGGCGTAATTATTCGTATTAAGGCCGCTGCAAAAGTGCAAACATGTCATTTTTAAGGAGTTGTGTTTAGGCAATTATTTCGTTCCTGCAATTACTGATCGTCTTTGTGTGTGTAGTAAATTATCATTAGTGTGTGTATACTCCCCCACCATCACCAATTTACAATACATTGTTATTTTTTATCTGGTTTATGGTCGCACGCACGTACATGCACAAGTCATTTAATGTCTAGATCAAAATGTTCAAAACCAATTTATGGACGTGAAATAGCCGTCGCACTGACAACAATTAATGTACTTCTAGTGGTTCGATTAAAAAAATGTAAAGATGTTTGTGTTGGTAAACAAGTTTACTTTGCATCGGTCCCAGCACTTTTTCAATTTTAGCAAATTCTTGACGAGAATAAATATTTTACATTTTACAAATTTATAAATTTTTAGTATTGAATATATTCAAAAATATCTAAAATTTAAAAAATATGCTCCGACCGATGTAAAGAAGACTTGTTGACCAATTAAAACATATTTATATTTATTAAATCAAACCACTAGAAGTACTTTAATTTTTGTCGGTCGCTAAGGTCGGTTTTTTGATAAAAAATTAATAGGATTTGCAGGGGCCTTAAAATATTTAAATATCCGTTCACCACATATTAATTTACACTTACCTACTTAACAATATAATTTTTTGTCGTCATTCTGGATAATCGAGGGAAAATAATAATAATATAAAGATTTTTTGATAATAATAAATAATATTCTATTGACTATTCTATTGTACGACAGTTACGGTTACTTGATTTATTATATTATCTACAGTAAAATTGTTCAACCTCTGAGCACTTCTTTTGTAAGTAACTAAAGGGCTATAAACTTATAAATTAAGATTAAGGCTGGGCTCATAGTAAATCAGTGCAAAAATATTGGCCTGGTTATTTCAGTTTTTTATTCACCGTATATCTGCATTGATGTACGCCCGTTGCCCGACCCAAGCCATCAAGAAATACTAATTATGTTATAAAAAAAAAAATTAATAGGTAGGTAAGCATCAAAAATCAAAACATACATCTATTTATTTTCGATTTCTCCAAGATATTTTTATCCTAAGGTAATCAGTACAATATTATTTATGACTACATGTGTTACCCAGGGGCCAGAGATAAATGAAACCGAGATTGGCAATCCACCTGCGACGGATTGTAAAATAAAATAAGTAACTTAATTTTCTAACGTGAATCAATTGTTGACAGAAATAAACCAATTTAATATGGTTATGAATTAAATATGTTTAATAACAGGTATTAGGTAGGCCATATTGTTATTTATATTCTCAATTGTTTTTTGTAAAAATCAGTCAAATATTTGTTTAGTACATACATTTGGCCTCTAATATATTATAATAGCTATTACTCAATCTGAAATTTATATAGACAAGTTTTATTAGCCTAAATGACAAAATATAATAAAAATATTAGACTTTCATGAGCCAAAATTAAACCCACGCATGAGCCACCTCATATTAACATTTATATGTTGAAAAATAAGCATTAAACATTCCCTGAGTCTCTAAGAATCTATGGATATAACATATTTTATTACGGTCAAGTTGTGTAGAAGTTAGTAGTTACACTTACACAATCACAACAGACGCACATAAGAATTATATTATACATAAAGATAGGTATGTCCATTGTCCATAATACCTTAGAGATTATTAAATATTAATAGTGTAGCTAACTTTATATTTTGTGTAGAAAGTTTGTGTGTAGCATGAAACTATAAGAAATGTATTGAATTTCATAACCATTGATAATGATAATATAAATGGAACATTTCTCATTTTGCATTTAGCTAATTTTCCAACGTGAGTACCTAAATTTTTTTTTTGTAAAATTTATTTGAAAATATACGATTTATATAAATAGCTGAATAATAATAAGTAGTATAATATGTTAAGGTGATTGAACCCAGCTAGAGTTACTTGAATTAAAAAGGTACCAAATGGAAAAGGCGAAAAATTTTTAAGTTTGGAGCGACGGAGCAAAGGTAATTTTTTTAGGCATAGGACTCAAGACTTAGCAGGGTCTTACTGGGTGGGAAGGTACCTATAAAGATTAAATGGTATTAACATTTTTAATTTATGTGAATATTATTATTTTAACTTCTTTTTAGACTGGTCAATGGTTATGGTGTGGGTGTCAAAAAAAAAATACTGTGCCTCAAAAGATTAAATAGTTTGAGAAACCACTAGTCAGGAGTATAAATATTTTTATTTTAACATATTAATTGATGGCAATTTCATAGCATATAGTATAATTTAGGTAAGTTATCAACTAATTTAAGAATGACCTTATTGCGTAATCTATGTAGGTACTTAAAACATAAATACATGCATGATACTACAGAAGACAACTTCAAGATTGTGCCATTAGATATTAATATCTCTCTATTAAACAAAAAACTTACAGTTCAGTCAAATAATTACCATGGTGGCCAATATTAGAGTTCTTTTGTAAATTATATGATGATAGAAAAAGGCTTCAGATATCAGATGAAGGTGCGTATTACAAAGAAAGTATATCAAAAATTTTTTTTTGAAAAAATCAGAGAAAAGAATAAACAGATAAGCCTTAATTTATATATCAGTGGTATGACCGAAAAATGGCAATATTGTAATGCTTCATTTTTTAAAAATGAAAAGATGAGATCTGCAAATGCTTGCTGACTGCTGTTAAAAAACAAAAAAGTTTTAACTTCCATAACATGATGTGTATCCAGAAGAATTAAAAGATTTATTGAACAGTGATTGAAAATTTAATAAACTAAATCTATACTCCTTGTCACCCGACGAAAACTCATCCGATACCACGCATCGCCATGTATTTGACCTACACTAATGGCAGTGGGGATGCCAGTGGCGTGTGAAGGGATTTATGACGCCTAGGCGTCATAGTGGAATTTTTTTTGGGGGGGTGGGGTGGTTGGGTACATTATGGTAACCAATAACATACAACAAAAATTAAAATATTTACAGTTAAATAATAATTATAGGTACTCTATATATTATATTAAGGGAATAAAGAGCGAGTAGGTACTAAAATATATGCTGGGCATCAAGGTTTATAAATGTTCACCACGCCACTGGGAATGCCTACAGTCTGCATGCGCAAAACGAGGATACTCTCTCGTGAACCGGGGTATAGACAAAACATCAAAGTTTATAATAATTTATTTGCACTTGCTTCTTTTAATATTCAGTTACAACATTAGACTATACAGAGTAACATGAAGATTGAAGGGAGTTGGCGAGCAAAACAAGTAGGTGGCAAAGCCCCCTAGTAATAATCATAATAAAGTTAAAACTAATAAGATGCAATAATATTATTAAACAATATAAAAAAATGATATCATTTTTATTGAGAAAATACAAGAAATATTTGATTTATGAAAAATAGATACTTTGTTGTTCTTGTTTCCACTTGGTGTATACCATTTTAGGAATTTTATTCATACTATTTAATTTTTCAATAAATCTGTTTCGTAACTGATCATCTACCAATTGGGTATTCATCAAAGTTTTAAGAAATGTACCAATAAAATATTTGTTTCTAAAAACACATGCTTCTAAGACAACTCGCATTACTTGACCAGTTGATTTGAAATATTCGAGTACTTTGATAATGTCTGCTTCATGGCGGTTCTGAAATATAGTATAATAAGATTCAATATTATTATTTATTGCATTTATACTATGAAAAAACTGTCTCTATGCTCTATTTATATATTATAATACACATTAACAATCTAACATAGTAAAAGATAACTAGCATTGAAACATACTATCAGAACGATCAAAATCTCAAATGATTGTTTGATATTATAGGTTAGAAAATACTTGTAAATTGTTTTAATTGATATGTGGTTGTTAACCGTGTTGTATACAATAATTGTACATCATTACATTATAATACAAATACAAAATTATTTTAAACATAGTTTAAAAAATGCTACTCATTCAATTTTATTATGATGAAAACAAATTAATGAAGAAATACAGATAATGTTCTACTTAATCGTAAATTTGATAGTAGGAAAAATGGCTCTATAGTGTTGAACTTGAACCCATGGTTAATACATTTGTCCACAATTACTTACAAAGAAGCAATAACCATTTATTCAAATTAAATATTTGTAATAAAATGTTGAAATATATTTGACCATGTAATACTGTTATAGAATAATTATGTTAATATTAATAAAAGATAATTAGGATATTTTTAATAAAGTATTAATTTAACTATAAATTAAATTAGTTAAAATAAAAGCAATATAGTTTACTTAACAATTTAATAACAAACAAGTATAAAACTATAGTTTGTATTAAATAAATGTGTTTAACCATTGGATAATTTCATTAAGTTGTTGGTACAGTCGTACATAATACAAATATTTAAGTAATCAAATACATATTACTTCAAAATTATATTTATACTTTGGTAATTCACTGTTCCTTATAATGTAGTATTAAATAAATGATAAGCTGAAATTTATTTTACCTCACAATCATCGTAATTTTTAAACAAGCCCATGTAATCCTCTCCATGGTTTATTTTCATTAGTTGGGCCTGGGCTTTTATAACATAATCAGACTGTATATCTCCACAAGATTCTGTTAGTTTAGGTTGCTAGAAAATGAAAACATATTAATACCTACTAAAAATAACCTAAATCTTAGTATATTTTATGTAATTACAGTATTAATATGGGCTGCTAAAGCAGCAGGTAAATCAATGGGCAATAGTTCTGTGAGCAAAGAGTAGAATATTTTAGCATTATCTACATTTGGTTTATAAGAACTGTACCATCTGCTGTATTCTGACCAAAGACCGATTTCCAAACAACATTGACGAAAAATTAATAAAGCAGCTTTTTGCATTAAAAAACTTTTTTCTGTAGCCGATTTGGACAATGTTTGATTGAAAAATTCTTCTAATTTCACTGCAATTAAGTAAAATATTTATAAATATTAAATACATTTTTGCACTATAATATAAATGTATAAAAGAAAAACATACATTTTAGCATATGACATACATGAGATTTTGTTTTTACAAAAGTAGAAATTAAAGACAATATCAATTTCCAATTGGCTTTTTCTGCATGCTGTGATAGGACATTCTGAATCAATGCATATATAACATGTTCATCAATTTCGTCCAAAAACTGAAATAATATAAATTATAAACATCAATTTATAAATTAAGTAACTCATTTTTATGTCAGATTAAAAGTAATAAACAAATGTACCATTGTAAGCATATTGTACACAGAATCTGGAGTTTTATACAATCTATATTGTTCATATGCAATATTCAAATGAAAATCAACATCAGCTATAAGCATGTTTTTTAACATTATTTTGAATATTTTTTGAATTGTTGATTTTGTTAAAAAAGATGAACATTTAAGATTTTTCAAATAGACCCATCCATCATGGTTTCTTACGATTATTAAGCTTGACTGTTAAATATGAAGAAATAAATCTATAAATATAAATTAATATCATTATACATAGATGCAAGGCTATATCTGGAATCTTTGCCCGATGGGAGGAGGGGGGAGGGCTTTCAACATTTTTTAGATACTGAATCAGAAAAATGTTAAAACACATATTAAGTATTATCATTAGACTATTCAATATGACAATATTCATATGGTTAAAAAATGAACTTTTACCCCCCCCCCCCCCCCCAAAGGAAAGAAATAATTGTCTAGATATTGCCTTGTATTGATGTAAATAATACTTAAAATCAGTACTTGAGTTAAAAACTGTTGAATAATTTGTATGTGTTGATCAAATATATGGTTAGGTTCTCCAGACAACAAAATTAATAGACTTCCCAATAAGTCTGTCAACATTTCTTGACAAAGCTTTTCTTCAGATTCAGACATACATAGCAGAGTTCTAACAATATGATCAAGATCCCACTTATAACTGAAAAAAATTGATATAACACAAGTAAAGTAAAAATATTTAGTAAACATTCTACCGACCATGTGATAAATTCTGCAAAGTCAATTATTTGTTTTGTATGTAGTTGCCAAATTATTTCAATTGAATATTTATTCTCCTGAAATTATAGTATTAAAAATTCTGTAATTGTTCAATAACAGAAAAATGTATACCTGTAATCCTAAAATAGTCTTAAGTAAATTTGAATTAATATCTTTTTCAGATATTTCATTGATCAAACTGTCTAAAGTTCTTCTATCTTTTTCATTCAACAACATACTCATGTCTTTGTTTCTTATAAATAGATCATTTAATTCTTCTACCTTCTTAAACAAAATCATGTTGGCACCTAAAATAAGTAACATTCAATAATATAATGCTAAACGATAAATTAAAATATGGACCAGTATTTAAGTATAAAAACATTTTTATTAATTTATTTTGTTAGACTAATTATCAACATGCGTATTTTTTTTCATGAATGTAATAATTATTTCAAATAATGATTACAAAATTGTATAAATTGATAGTTCTCTAGGTATAAAATAAAATAATTATTCAAAAATTGAAATGTTATTAAAATATTCTTTAAGGGGACGGAGTTGCCGAGCGGTTTGTGCACACACCGTAGCCGGTTCAAACTTTGGCCTCGGGTGGCACTTCTCTCAGTCACATTGTCTGGAGAGAGAGGCCACCATCCCCCACCCGGGCATGGCAGATACCTACAGGTGCCCACTTTAAAATTTTGCCAAACTAAAAAGACACATGTTTAACAACCTACAGTATCCTCCCCTACAAACACAACAGCTAATGGCCAAAGTTGCCAGGCTAATTATCAATAAAAAAATAAAATTATGCTTTATTATGTGATAGGTAACATACTACAGATTTCTGAGCGAAATTCCCTGAGGCCCAACTTTTAACAGAAACAAAATTCTTAATAATATAAGTAATAAATGTATCTTAATGAAAATCAGTGAGAGTTATTCTATATTTTTAAGTTCTAATGTTTGACATTGAAAACCCTAAACAATTTTTTGATATCTGATTAAAAAATAAATAGTTATGACTTATGATATTTAATCAAGTTAATTAAACATTTTTACTTGTTACTTGTATGTTAGCTTTATATTATGCAAGTAAAACAAATATGAAACCTATATTTTTATTTAGTTATCAATAAATATGTATTATAGGTATACATTATACTTATAACATCAATGAATTTAACGACATCATAAGTAAATTAGACACATTTAGACAGACAATTAAGGCACATTGATTTATTCTAAGAACATTTTTAATAATGATTGATGAAATAATAATGAGAGGCATGTTTGAACAATAAACTTATAAACTCCATATGCCATATCAACAAATATGATGATTTTAAGTTAAATAAATATACATGTACATTAGAAGTCTATAAAAATTAAAAATTAATATTATAGCATATGTATTGTGCGTATAAAACTATTTTTAATTATTTAGTAGTATCAAATATTAATGAGTAATGATGAAACACATGCGTAATATCTAACATTTGTAATGCATAGTGTTATATTATAATGTTTTAATCATGTATACAGGGTGATCATCCAAGCATATACAACCCCTTTTCCCTTCAATGATGCAGTTATTAAAAATCTGATTTTTGGAATTTTAAATATACCTAAAGACCATATTTTTAATTTCTTGAGATTTTTTGTACTACCTAGTACCTACTAAAGGAGTGTCCCACAGAGATACAAACTTTGTTTTTAAAATGAGAACCACCCTTACTTTCTACTGAGTAATAAGATGATTTTTCTGAAATGTATCAAAATCGATATTCAAATAAGTAGTTTTTGAGATATTTAACTTTGTGTAAGTATTAAAGATAATAGGTCCACAAAAAATGGGTTTGGAATGTACGGGGGCTGTTGAAAATGTTAGAAAATAATTTTAATCTTTTATATTTTTACAATTTATAAAGATGGCCCAATTACCAATAATAAATACTAAACCAAAATAAAATCTATGTTATATTTTTATATAATCAAATTTATATTCTTGAACTATAAAATCTCAAGATATTGACAGATATAATGAATAATATTATTAACTTCAAATTTGAATTGTTAATAGTTATAAATCAACATTAAGCTAATTTTTATTTTGTTTTGAAATTAATGCATACCTAATGAGAATAAAGTTTTTGGTAATCTTTGTAATGTGTACCTACATATATATAACTTTACATATACCCTGTCCAGCCGTCCAGGGTCCGGAAACAAGACCAAGCGGCCTGACAAAAATTGGTTCTTATGTGCTTCTACATGCGACACCTGGTGTCCCTGTCATATTGGAACTAGTGTCTATGGCATAGTGTCACGTGGGGATGCACAGAATCAGCTGGACAGGGTATAATTATACTTTTTATTAACATTTTACCTTATATATATAAGCTTCTTTTGTGAGCTTTACTAGATGTCCTTTTCTAGTTCTGTTTCTATTTTCTCTTAGGATAGTATTTCCTGGAGGTGTGCAGATATCTTATTCCGTTATATTCATAATAAACTTAAAATACTGACAAATAAGGTAAAGTTAGTCATTATGAGGTTTTTTCTATAAAATTATTGAATGAGTGCTTTTCAAGTGGTAAAATTTTAAAAGAATTACATTTTCTTTATTACAAATTACAATTAATTACAAACAAGAATTACAAATCAAATACTCAAATGTAAGCTTTTCGTTTATCTTTATAAATAAAAACATAAATAAACATATTAATCAATCTTTAAAAAGTAAGTTATAAAGATAGGAAATGATAGCAAACACGCTAGAAATGATAACAGATATCTTCTGAAGAGGACGCCACGGCAAAAACTTTTTTTCGCGGGACAACTATAATACCTCTGTATTTATAGTAGAATTACCAAAATTTCACAACGCATAGGGAAGAACTTTGTCTGTATCGTAATGTTTTTATTATTTGGATAACATAAATACAATTAAAGTTATTAGTTTGAGAACATTAGGTTTTTTTGTTTTTTTAGTTTAATTATTAAAAATTATTGGTAAGTGCTATCAAAAAACAAAAACGCTACGAATACACAGATAAAGTTCTTCCTTATGTGTTGTAGAATTTTGGTAATTCTACTATAAATACAGATGGAGAATAGTTGTCCCTCGCAAAACAGTTTTTACTATGCTGTGCATTTGTAAGGCGGAGATACGACTCCTTAAAGTTGTATAAGAAATTTTAAATTTAATTAGGTAAGTTTTAGATTCTGAGGGGAGCAATGAATGTGTTGATTTTACAATGATGTGTGTTTTTATATTTTTAATTTTTACAACAGCTAATTTTTAAGACAGTAAAAATGCTTGGATTTTCCTAACCTTATTGGTATCTAAAAATTAAAATTCCTAATAGTTTTAAGGCTGCAACTTGTTAGCGCACATTTTATAATTTTTACCTGAAAAATCGGAACTCATTTGCGCACACGGTTATCCTAAATGTACAACTGGTTTGCGCACACGAAAATAAGGCTATATGACATAAGCATGTTATTGACATAAACATGTTTATGGTTATTGCATCATAACCCTTTATTCTGCTCTCATTCGTTCAATTCTCGACTATGGTTCAATCATTTGGAATCCCCATCTTAAAACGGAAATAAAACTTATTGAACGAGTCCAGACTCGATTCCTAAACTATGCAGGCTTCTTATTAAAAATTGAACACCCCCTACACTCATACCAACCTGTCATGGGCGCGCTTAATCTCCTCTCCCTCGAGGAAAGGCGACTAATTGCGGATCGTAACTTCCTTTTAAAATTAATCCAGGGTAAAATTGATGCTCCGCGTCTCCTTGAGCGTATTAGCTTTAGAGTTCCTACCGCCAATACCAGATCAACCAATTCCTTTCACATCACAACTTCCCGTTCAAACTTTTTATCTAATGATCCTTTTGTTAGAGCTATGCGCAATTTAAATAATAATAATTTTGATATATGGCCTTAAATTTTGTATTCTCCTAACGTGTGTAATTTTCCTATTATAATTATTATTGTTCTTATTTTTTAGTATATTGTTAACATTATCATTTATGTATATTATTCTTATCACTAACGTTAATTCATGTTATATCGTTATTGCAATATGTAAAAAGCCGTTTGGCGTTTATACAAATAAATAAATAAATAAATAAATAAGCACCAAAGGTGCAAAAATGCAAGGCTGGGCATTAACGAGTTAAAACGTTAAAGTTAAGTTAATAAGTTAATTTTATATTAACTTTTTAACTTAACTAGTTACTTTTGGCTTTTCATTAACTTAACTGTTAACTGTTAAAAATGACATATCATTTGCGCCAGAATAAATATTTTATATAAGTAGTTTTTCTAAATTGATATATTAGGTATCTTAAAATTAAAATTAACACATTTTACACAAACATTATATTATATGCATTTTTAACATAATTTATTAACAATTATTATTAATAATAAGCAAGTATTAAAAAGCATTTTTAACCACACCTATGAATATATTCATAGTCAGTCCTAAGTCTGTTAAGTGAGAAGGAAAATGTATGTAGGTACTTTAATAATTTACTTATTAAGAGGGTATTAAAAGGTCAAGCCAAAAGGTAACTGTGCGCAAACCATGTGCATGTTTACGGCTCAACTGTTCCCAAACGAGTGGTAGTTTTGTGCCCAAAAAAGTTGTCTTTTTGGTATTTGTGCGCAAACCAGTACTGCCCAGTTTTAAAAAACGCAGGGAAAACAAAATATAAAACTGGAATTTTTGCTCAAAATCGGTTTTCAACCAAATCGATTTTGGTTTGTGGTGTAACTCTAAAACAAAGTACCGTAGATTGTAGATACATGAAATTTTCACTGGTTGTTTATATTAGCCATCATTATAAAATAGTTTGAATTGTATTTAACTTTTTACGGATATTTAAAGTTTCCAATTTTTTAAATTTATTTCTATGAATGCCAATACAATTTTATTTGTTGAATAAAAAAGCTTGGAAATGTAATACAAGGCTCCTGAAATATTGACATATTGTTACAATAGCAGTTGAAAAATATTAAAAATACATAAGCACACATTTTTTTATAACCATTTAAAGTTTGAATTTATTGACAAAATATATCAAATTTTAAATTTTAAAATGATTTTGTAGTAAAAATTTATAAAATGTTCAACTTTTATAGCTAAGGATAGAAAATTTAAAACAAGGTTCCAAGTAAATAAGTAAATACATTTCTTTTTTCACAATAATATCATCAAATATACTTAGCATTTAGTAATATGTCATAGGCTCATAGGCGCATCTATATGTGG